CTTGGTAGCCCAGGGTGGCCTCTAACTCACAGAGATCCACCTGGCTCTGCCTCCCGAGTGCTGGGATTAAAGGCGTGCACCACCACCACCCGGCAAATTGCTCATTTTAAAATAGGAGGACTGAATACCCTGCATGGTTCTATCCATGAGCATTGCCAACATTGCCACCAAGGCAAGTTGTATGAGGGATTTAGATCCAAAGGCAAACAGGATTTCTGAATATGGAAAATGATTGCCAGTTTCTCAAGTTTTCCTCAGTCTTATAAATCATGTCAGTTGTGGGAAAGGAGAGTATCAGAGCAGGGTGGCCTCAGTCTTCAGAAATGGCCTCACTCACGCTCTGGTCCTAGATGGCTCCCATGGGAGCTTGAGCTAACTAACACCCTGGTTCAGTTTCTGACTCACTTTATCTACATGGTGCCCTGTGCTGGTGATCCATATGATTGTGCACAGCTTCTGGGAATCCAGAGGTTGAGGCAGAGGTGCAGAGTGACCCTGCTCACTGGCTCCAACCCTGTCTGCTTTGCTCTTGTTCCTCTGGGTGTTATCTTCTCTACGCTTGATAAGTTATATCACTGGTGTTTGTACATGCTAGTCCATGTCTTCTTTTGTTTGTTAATTGGTTTGTTTGCTTTTGAGACAGGGTTTCTCTGTATAGCCCTGGCTGTCCTGGAACTCACTCTGTAGAGCAGGCTGGCCTTGACCAGGCTGACCTCAAGATCTCTCTGCCTCTGGCCTCCCCTAGTGCTGGGATTAAAGGCGTGCACCATCACCACCTGCAAGTCTTTCTTGGCCACAATTCCTTGGCAAAGCTTCTAATGGGTGGACAAAGGCTCTGAACTGATGAACCCAAGACTTCACATGAAATGGCCCATGGAGGGAGGGACTCCCTACTCTTTGCCTCAAGTCAAGCAGAGCTTTCCAAGGAACCCCTGAGACTTCAGAAAGACAGAGGTCCACCCAGAGCTCTCATCTAACACACACACACACACACACACACACACACACACACACACACACACACACGAGTGTCTCTCACCTACACTTGCTGATGCACATGTCATTCACCCATACAAGTGGTCCCTATCAAGAGATGCCATGTACCATGGAGCAGATGGGAAGAGTGTGATTCTGTGGCTACTTGGATCAGGGCTTTGGGCTAGCTGCTCTACCATCCTAGGCAGGTCATCTAAATCTGACCTCAGTTTCCTTGTTTGTGAAATGGTGAATATCCAGGATGGCACTTGCCCATGGCATAGGCTGGTTATGAGCATGGCTGAGGTGGTGCTCAGCAAACCCCTACCCTTCTGCAGTGGTTGCTCTGTGGGAAGCAGCTTCCCTGCTCTCCCTCAGCTGCAGTTGGATGGGCCCACACCCTGTGTTATGTCATTTCTCCTGAGTTTCCTCATTCCAGAATGCTGTTGTCCTCTCACTGTATACATGAGAAGGTGGAGCTGTGTTGGTGACCATGTGTCTCTGTCACCCTCAACTCAGACTGGGGCTTGCTGTCTCTGCTTGGTCTCGGTCCTGGGGGAGTTGATCTCTGTGATTTTATGGCCCATAAATAGAGCTGATGAGGTGGCTGTTTCGCCAACTCCTGCTGATCCTGACCCCACCATGACAAATGCAGAATAGGGAAGCCTGGAGAGGAACCAGGAACAGGCCAAAAGGGTCCACTGGAGGGTCAGGTCCTTAGGGAGGGGGCAGAGCTGGTTGGGACAGCAAGAGATCTAGGCTGGGAGAAGTCATCCCCGTTGCCTCCTCGGGGTGGCAGACAGGGAAGGGAGCGTCTCCTGCCTCGGTTTTCATTGCCCCATGCCTCTCCGTCCTAGATGCGGTGAGCCCAAAGATGTTTGAGGAACTCAAGAGCAAGCTGGACAGCCTGGCCCAGGAGGTGGCCCTGCTGAAGGAGCAGCAGGCCTTACAGACCGGTGAGTCCAGTACGGCTGTGTGGAGGAACACACCCAAGGCCAGACTGGCAATGGGCAGCAGTGAAGAAGTCTCAGTTTCCAGCCAGTGCCGAGCTGTGTTCACATGCTTCCTAGGGGAAGTTCCCTAACTCACATCTGCAGGACCCATCCTGTCAGGCACAGCGGGGTCTGGTCACAGCTAGAGGATGTGGAGGTGGAGTGCTTCCGAGGCCAAAGGTACTCCCAACAGGAACTACCAGTGCTTCGTGGAAGTGAGAGCTTTGAATCAGGGCCAGGATTGCAGTATAGCCTAGGCCAGCTTCAGGGGAACTGTACTTAACAGCCTCACAGCCCTGGGGCACATCACCCTCCCTTCCCTGCCCACTCCCCACGTCTCCCTCCTCCCCTGTGTCCACACCCCTGTGGCTTTATAGATTGTCTCTGAATCACAGTAACCAGGCCAGCATCTGTTAGTCCCGATGTGAAGATATGCCAGCTGAAGGGACCTGGAGAGATGGCATGGCAATTGAGAATTTGATTCCCAGCAACGCTTGTAACTCCAGTCCCAAAGGATCAAATGCTTGGTGTCCTCCATGGGCACTTCACTCATGTGCATTAACTCTCTCTCTGTCTCTCTCTGTTACACACACACACACACACACACACACACACACACACACACTTTAAAAATAAAAATAAGGCCAGGCATGGTGGCACACACCTTTAATCCCAGCACTTGGGAGGCAGAGGAAGGCAGATCTTTGATTTCAAGGCCAGCCTGGTCTACAGAGTGAGTTCCAGGCCAGTCAGGATCATACAGTGAGACTCTATTTCAAAGACAAAACAAACAAATAATATAACAAATAAAAAACAAAATCTTGGAGCTGGAGAGATAGCTCAGTCATTAAGAGACCTAGCTGCTCTTCCAGAGAACCTGGGTTCAGTCCCCAGCACCCACATGGTGACTCACAACCATCTATAATTCTAGCTCCAGGGGATCCAATGCCTTCTTCTGCCCTGAGGGCAACCCCACACAGACATGGCATACACTCACACAAACATACACATATACACATAAAAATCTTTAAAAAATACTTTTAAAAATAAAAGATGGGCTAACGGAGGCAGAGTAACACAGTTACCCTGCTGGGGGCGGCAGAGCAGGGACAAGACCTCCCATTTCGGGCACTCTAAAGGCCAGGAGAGCCAGGCTTTGTTTTCTTGCGTGAGTAGCCCAGTCTGGCTAAGCACAGAGCTTTGGGGCCAGGCAGTTCTTCTTCAAGTTAGTTGTCCCTCTCCATCATGGTCTTCATGCGTGTCTCTCTTCCCACTCTCCCTATGACCTTACCTCACTCCATGGTGTGGAGTGAGCATACTATGTGTGTGCTTGGCCCTGATCTGGGTATATGATGTACCTGAGCATGTGATGGCTGTGCTACAGAGTCTGTGGATAACCAATTCTGTGAGGACTAGTTGTCAAATCCCTCAGAGACATGGGGATGTTTCTCTTGAATATTCGCTGAGTGGAATGACTAAGTGCATGGGTAGGGGCCAATATGTACCTCTGACATATGTGACCCCAGACATACCCCATCTGCCTGATATTCAAGTTAGGAATCAAGCTAAATACAAACTGCTACACCAAACTCACCATAAGTACCTTCCTCCTAACCTGGGAGGCCAGTGTTCCATTGAGCACTCTAGTTCAGATGCCCTTTGGATAGCCTGCCTTCCTGTTCAGTCTTTTCTGCTGCAAATGTTCCTGTAGTCTCAGCTCATTCTCCCAGCTCTACCCAACCAGCCAGGGACCTGACTGGGCAGAGGTCCCCTGTGTAAACCCCCTGTGGTGAAACTTGCTGGCCCTCAGGCAGGGGTGGTAGGCCCTAAGTATCTTAGACTGTGGTCTCCATTTTAAGTAGGCAGATGCCTGGCACTGTGAGTTAGTGGCTTGATCCTGGGGGGTGGGGTGGGGCTGGTGGTCCAGCTCGGTTTAGGGGGCTCTAGCTAGTTGGGGAAGCTGCCTTTGAGATGCAGTGGGCTGAGGCTGCATGCCTGGGGATGTGAGAAAGGAAGCAGACCCACGAGAAGATAAGCTCAGAATAAGCCTGGTGCCAACCTCTGTGGCTCAGGGAACTATCCTGCTCTGAGCAGAGGCCAGGTGACTTTTGCTTCCCTTCATCTCTGGAGTCAGTGACCCTGGTTAAGGAACCCTTTGCAGCAGAGGGGTGGCCATTCCCGGAGCAGGGCACCAAGTCCTCTTGAACAGTAACCTGGGTTCTTCAGTGTCTGCCACAGCAGGATCCTGAAGTGGGCGGGAGCAAGCACGTTTCAAGCGATGGATGGGATAGGTTGGAGGCTGCGGGCTGTCTGGATGAGGTCTATCTGTCCTGGGGCCCTGAAACTTAATGTGACAGATATCTCTCCCTTCAGTGTGCCTGAAGGGCACCAAGGTCAACTTGAAGTGCTTCCTGGCCTTCACCCAGCCGAAGACCTTCCACGAGGCCAGCGAGGACTGCATCTCGCGTGGCGGCACGCTGGGCACGCCGCAGTCAGGACTAGAGAACGAGGCACTGTTCGAGTATGCGCGCCAGAGCGCAGGTAGCGAGGTGGAGATCTGGATGGGCCTCAACGACATGGCAGCGGAAGGCGCCTGGGTGGATATGACCGGCGGCCGCCCGGCCTACAAGAATTGGGAGACGGAGATCACCGCGCAGCCTGATGGCGGCAAAGCCGAGAACTGCGCTGCCCTGGCCGTAGCGGCCAACGGCAAGTGGTTCGACAAGCGATGCCGCGACCAGCTGCCCTACATCTGCCAGTTTGCCATCGTGTAGGCTGGCCCTGAGCGAAGGGGCGAGGCCTGGGCCAGGGAGGGGCGAGGACCATAAAGAGGCGGGGCTGTTGGTGGGTGGGGCTTATGGGTTGCTAAGGGGCGGGTCATCGGTGGGTGGAGTCGAACTTCACTGAGCCGGGAGTGTGTGGTGGTTCCAGGGGAGAAAAATGCTGATGTGGGGGCCCTGAGAGGGGCGTGGAGACCTTTCTGCCTCGGGTTCCTCCTTGCCTGGCTTTTGCAAATAAAGTTGGTTCATAATCCCTGAAGTTGGATGGTCGCCAGGTCAGGGTGGGGAGAAGATTCCAGGAGTCTGGCTCCAAACCCAGGAAAGCCTTAGTCACATTTCCAGCCTACTTTTTGCAGAGGCCACTTCCCTCTGTTAGAATACAATACACACTCCAATTCTGGCTGGTGTGTTTGGGGGTACTATCCTTTCTCTTGTTGGGATCCATCCGGGGATGCCCGGACATGCAGAGGCCTACTGTGGGGTTGACAAGGCTTCCCAGGTAGATTCCTATCTGCCTCTATCCTCATCCCAGGGGTTCTGGGAGCCAAATATGACAGCGGCCTGGCTAGTGTGTTCCTTTCCCTTCCTCTCCTTACAGCCAGTCAGCCAGCTGGCATTCCACACCGTTCCATGTCAGCACAGAGCATCTCTGAGCCCACCATATTGCAGGAACTTTAAATACACAGTCTGGTTTAGCTTTATCCACCAGGACAATCTGTGTCACTGTGTCTTACAATAAGGAAGTGCCGACACAGGGAATCTCAGGGGCTCCGGATGATGGAGATCTAGTGATTGCACAGCCAGGGTTCAACCCTGGACTGACCCCCCAGGCCTGGACCTTCCTGCCACCATTACTTACTGGTCTCACACGACTAGAACTCTCCAAATATGAAACATAATTAGCCTGGTGCCTCCCTTTCCCCACAGGGCTATTGGCTAGCTTCTAGTGTGATGTGGCCTGTGGACCCCTGTGGACCCAGCCCTCACACGTTCTCCTTACCCTTAGCACAGCCATTAGTTCCCCGAGGGACTTTCCCAGCACCTCTGCTTCTGCATAGTCCCACAGTTCTTGCCATCAGTTCCAACCTGATGACGAGCAATTTGATTGACGGGGATGGGAGGCAGCTTGTGGTGGAATGCCAGCCATAGCTGTTAGTGTGGGACCACTCAAGAGTGAGGCCAGCAGGGCGACTGGCACTAAGAGCCCTGACTCCTAAGAGTCCTGGTCAGATCTCCTTAAGAGTGTGCTGTTCCGAGAAGCTGTGGGTCCTGGTAGGAAGGCAACCTGGGCAGGTAATAAACATTGCCTTCTTCCATCAGCAGATGGCAGTGTGGGAAAGAGAATGATTTCCTGTTCTTCAGCAGCCTGGAATGTTCTTAAGTTTAGAGCACCTACACTGCATGCAAACTGGGTCTACCTGTGCTCCTGGCCCTGGTTTTTTTTTTTTTTTTTTGTTTTGTTTTGTTTGTTTTGTTTTGTTTTTGTTTTTGTTTTTGTTTTGTTTTTTTGTTTTAAGAAAAAAAATCTCATTGTGTTGTCCATTGTGTTGACTTTGAGCTTCAGAATTCATTCACGAAATCCTGCCTCAAAAGGCCAACTCTTCACCGCATCCTGATCTTCCCATACATAGTATGTTGCTCTAAGGTATGAAAAACTCTAGGATGGAAATCTGAGGGACACTTTGAAATAGGGGTTAAGCTTATGAAAGACTCACTAAGATTCATTTTGCTAATTTAGTTTTTTGTTTTGTTTTAGTTTTTCAAGATGGGTTTCTCTGTCCTGGAACTCACTCTGTAGACCTGGCTGTCCTGAAACTAACAGAGCTCTGCCTGCCTCTGCCTCCTGGGTGCTATGATTAAAGGCATGCACCACCAATGCCCAGCTAATTTAGTACTTTTCAATCCTTTGCCTTCAGTATCCTTTGCAAAGAGCCTAAGTTTTCAGCTGATCACTATGCAAGATACTTTCCAATGATTAAAAACCACTTTTAACCTGTACCTTAGAAGTCCAAGCATGATCGCTCAACACTATTGTTATGAATTATTGTGCAGGGGGAGGGGGGGAGAGACCCCCAAGGGTATCTTGAGCGTGCAGGGAAACATGCTAAGCAGATGCACACCATGTGGGCATGGTGGCGATGGCCAATAATTCACAGCCCAGACGCTGCATCCATGTGGAGAGTTTATTATAATAGAGAGATGAAGAGAAAGATAGGAAAGAGAGAGACAGAGAAAGAGAAAAGAGAGAGGAGGAGGGTGTACACCTCATGGGAGGAGAAGCAGAAGAGAGAGAGGAAGGGGAGAAGTTTTTCCTTAGAATGAGGCTTTTGCATCAGGACACAGGGAGGCACCAAGGGGTGGGATTTCAAGGGGCAGATCAGAATATTAACAACTATAACAAAACTCCTTCCAGTTCACTAGCTTAGTCATCTGAACAGTTTCATTTTACAAGTCTATTTTTATTTTATTTTTAAAATTGTGTCTGTACATGCAAATGAACGCCACGGAGACTAGAGGTACCAGATCTCTCTGGAGCAGAATTTACAGGTAATACTGAGCCATGTGATGTGGGTGCTGGGATTTGAACTACAAGAGCAATATGTGCTTTTAACTACTGAGCCATCTCTCCAACTCCCCATTTTACAACTCTAAAAGTAGACAATAGAAATAATGTTGGTGCCAAATTCTGCTCCATTCTAGCCATTAAAACAATAATACTTGTCTGAACCAGGATGATAGTGTAACAAATAAAAGTGGCTTCCATACAAACCTGAGGATCTGAGTTTGATCCCTGTGTCTCAAGGTGGAAGGAGACAGCCAACTCCCCAGAGCTGTCCTCTGGCCTCCACACATATTATCATGGTGCCCCCATATGCATACGAAAAAAATTCATCTAAGTCTCGTGTTGGGGCTTATGTCTGTAATCCCAGTCATCTGAGGCTGAGGTGGGAGGAATGCTGAGCATTCAAGGTCAGCCTGGGCTGAGATGTAGACCCTATCTCAAAAAAAAAAAAAACAAAACAAACAAAAACTGCTGGGCATGGTGGCACACGCCTTCAATCCCAGCACTTTCGAAGCAGAGGCAGGCAGATCTCTCTGAATTCCAGGACAGACAGGGCTACATAGAAAGACAAACAAATACAACAACAATAACAACAAGCCTCAAAAATCCTACCAAGGGTCCCCTACCCCTTTATCTGATTGAGGATATTGTATTTGCTGGGGCTCAGTGATATAATGATTGCTTAGCATGCATAAGACTTGGGTTTAAGTTCCAGCAAAACACCTACACACACAAAATAAATAAATGAAAAATTTCAAAAGGGGGTGACAGCACTTGGTGTTGGTATGTGTTTGTGATTAGGAGTGCATTAACTGTGTAAAAATACAATTCCATTCACTGTTTTTAGGGTTATTTCCAAGGCTTGATGTCAGATTATTCCTCACGGGCTTTTCATGAGGCAGTGGCTCACATAAGAGCATGGTTTATCAATTAAGTTGGAAGTCCTGGCCCAATGCTCAGAACACCTCCCTCCTCCAATAAAAAGCACTGTTGTTTTATGTACTGTGAACACACAGCTGAGATAATACAATTTTAAAATGAAATTGCCACAGGGGAGGTTAAGCTAAGGTCTCACAGCTAGCTGAAGATGAACTCTGGGAGTTTCTGTCCCCTGTAGCAAGCAGCTGGTGCAAAGTACTTTTGCAAGCAACCCACTAGCCTAGACCTGGGTCCTTCTATAGGACTGCTGGGATTAAAGGCATGTGCCACCATGCTATACTTTTAAAAAATATCTCCAGGTCATACTTTCTAGGTAGAACAGTTTGGGGTTATTAGTACTTTAGAATGTTCTCTCAGTGTTTCTATCCAGTATTTATGAGGAACATTTCTAGTGACAGTTGACAAAACTCAGATTCTAAGTAAAGAAAGTTCAAATCACATTCCAAACTTGGCTGACAGGATGGCAGGACAGGTGTGGGCATGTCTCCCTTGGATGTCAATGTGTGCAAAGTATTTTGCTTGGCATCAGGCTCAAAGTACAATCCTTTTGACAATTGTTTCTGTAACTTTGCAAGGTATGTGTTGGAGGGTGGGAGGGCTTGTCATTTAAATAGGAAAGAGGTTGTGATTCTGCAGGCACCAAGACTTCTGGGTTTCGGTAAAACTGAATAGAAGTTGTCATTCTTTAGGCAGCCTGACTCCAACTGCTGTGTTAGGTCAGGGCTGTCTCTATGTGCGAGTTCATACTGCAGATGTCTTCTACCCAGCAGCTCTGTCCAGAATGTTCCTCACTTTTCCCGCTGAGCACTCGATGCCTGTACCACTGGCTTTCTTGCATGAGGTTTAGAAAATGAGTAGGGAAGAGCTTCCTGACCTGAGCACTGTTGTTTGCTGAGTGGACACTTAGGTGCGGGCCATCATGTGTGTGAAGGCTGTCACCAGTGTTCCTGATTCTGCCCACCCAAGCCATCAGCTCTTGCTCCAGTTGGGACAACTATGTTGTCTGAAAACATGGCCAATGTGACCCCTGATGGGAGCCACTGAGGTTGAAGGACTCCTGGAACACTAGCCAAGACAGTGCATGATTAAGATTTCAATTCTGCCCCTTGATATTCATTTTCAGGAAAGCACATTCCCGCATTAAAACTTAGGGTGTTCAATGAAAGCTCTTAAGAATCTCTCTGATCAAATCAGACACGGTGACACACACCTTTAATCTCAGAAACTGGGAGGCAAAGGCAGATCTCTGTGCTGGAGGTCAGTCTGCAAGAGTTCCACGACAGCCAGAGCTACACAGAGAAAACCTGTCTTGTAAGACCTCTTATCCAGGAGCAGTAACCCTGTAATCCCATCACTTGGATCAGACATAGGAGGACTGTAAGTTAACATCTACCCTGGGAGACATAAAGACACTTGTCTCAAAAAACAAAAAAAATAAGCAGTCCCCCTCCCATGAATTATCATTGCTCATGATGCAGGCTTTCTCCCTTCTTCTTCACAGCTGCTTCTCTTCAGAGATCTCCCTCACATCTGAACTCAGCTCAGCATCTGCCTCTGGCAGGTCCTGAACAGATTCAGTAATTAAGAACCTTGTACAGGGGGCTGGGGGGCTGGAGAGATGGCTCAACAGTTAAGAGCACTGACTGTTCTTCCAGAGGCCCTGGTTTCAATTCCCAGCACCTACATGGCAGCTCACAACTGTCTGTAACTCCAAGGTCTGACAGCATCACACAGACATACATGCAGGCAAAACACCA